AATACTTTATGAAATATCTCAAAAATAACATTAAACAAACACATACAATAATTCTTTACAGATTCATTATTCAATACTTACAAGATAGTCTAACATCTCCAATCACAGAGAGAATAATAATTCATAGACTCACACTCGCATTAGATTTCATATTATCTCATACAATACAACAAATATACAAATACATTCCACAAAAATTATCATTTTTGGCAACATAGAAATAGAAGCAACTCTCGATTAAACAAATAAATAAATTCCATACTACCATAAAAGTATTTAATAATTAAACACTTAAATGACCAAACCCTCTAAAAAACAATTTATAAAAGCAGTAAAATTTGTCTTAAAAAGAACTATAAAAATTTATGAAAATACTCTATTCCACAATCATTATGATATAATTGAATTTATCACAAGCATAACCTGGGAATATTCTAATCACAAAAGATTAACTATAATTCAATTTTTAACAACTCAATGATTTTGTATCTCCCAAATAAATAAAGATTTAAACTTACCAACACCAGAAACAATTATTATACATAAACTAACTGACCTCCAAAACCTTATTATAAGGTTGACCGAAGAGCAACTTCTTACGTGTGCTCCAATGTATTCTGAACTTACTAATTCATCGATTAGAGAAACATTAGTTTAAACTATCACAACATCACTGTATATCAGATTCATAACAATAAAAAAAAAATTACATCAACTACACAAATCACTCACATAAATATAATTTTCAAAAAAAAAAAAAAACACGAACAATAGAAACAATAACACATCCAAGAACAATGACTGAATCAAAATATGAATACTTTATATTTGATTTTGAATTTGGAAATCTCCCATCAAAGGAACTTGTATTAGTATCCGGAGCAGTACAATTAGCACTTTCACAACACAAAATAGGCAAATTAAGAGGCAAACCATTAATATTAAAATCACAGCCATCACGTCTACCTTTTAAACAAATAGTTCCATTATTAAAACATATGTCAAAACACATACCCCAAGACAGAATAAAAGCATTCACTGAACAACTAAACATAGCAATTACAACGGACTACGAAACACTAAATGCTGAACACATAAAAAATTATATATATAGTAGCACTCATACACCTATAATAGTATTAAGGAATGGCCACATGGACAAGACAATTCTACAATCATTAGGTATTATTCACAAATACCTAGAAATAACAGTATATGACACAAAAAACAATGGCATTTTTGATCTCATACTAAAAGATATGACCACAAAAAAGATAATAACTTACACAACAATAGGACACTTTAACAAATCAGGACGATTACTCAACTTAAAAGAAGCTCACAGCATGATTTGTAACCAACATATAAATATTGGTCCATCTCACTTTCCAGAAATTGATACTACAATGACACACTGTATTTTTAAACACTTAATCAATAGAATAGGATTAGACAAATTAGAATCATACTTAAATAACACAGTAGAACACCTATTCTTCTAAATTAATTTAAATAATTAATCAAACACTCCATTACCTTAATAAGTCAAAACAATAAGACAAAAAACCAAAATCAAACTATCAAACATCTAAATCAAATATTCAATTATTAAAATATAAAATATATAACATATTTCATTTATATTTAAGGAATAAAAGCAAAAATCCCCAAATCTGTCATTTGCAAATAAAAAAAAAAATGGAAAAACAGCATATTTCAACATCAAATGGTATGATAATTAGTTAATCAACTAATCGAACAATTACAATGACATTCATATTCATACTAATATTAACAATATATACAACACACGGGTTTATCACATATGATTGTAATAGCCCATCAATAAATATCACATCTTTTAACACACTTGAAGTTGACTATTGTACAACACCCATTCCAGCAAAAGTAGAGACTATACCATTAATCAAGTTATTACAAAAAACTGAAGTACAAAAAATAATGTATAAAAGTTGCTTGATAAAAGTAGAATATTTAATTATGAAATGTGCAACCTTCTCTGATGCGCAAATGGTTAATGGAGGATACTCTGCAGATATTATTGATCTCACAAGAAATCAATGTAGAGATATTCATGACAAATTAACTTATCCACTTCCAAACAACCAACTAATCACTAATCTGAAAATAAACAACACAAAATACACTCACTCAGTAATAGCTGGCAAATTATCAGACGATGGTTCATGTTCTGGAGCTAACTACAACACTGAAAACCAAGCATGGGAAAAAGTTGTTGTCCAAGCAAGATATCAAGTTACACTATCAGAAGGCTCAGCCATAGCTAACTATAAAAATGACATAATAATACTACCAACTGGCACAAGATTAAAATTATCTGACCAATACGGAATTGATTCATAAAAGGTGTTATATTTTGGGACTCCAATACACCACATCGATGTGATAAAGATGATTTTGATGTAATCTGCGAAGGAGCAGCATCAAGAATCACGTCAAACAATCCTGATCAATCTAAAACATCAATAACATACCTGGTTGAAACTGATAAAATTGCCTTTACTCTTAGAAAGATTGGCAAAGCTTTTGCATGTGGAAAGGAAGTCATTGAAACGGAACACCCACGCCTATTAATTTTAGAAAATCCTTTATACATGTCATACTTCAAAGTTAAACCCATATCCGCATACTCAACCGATTTATTTGCTTACATTAACACAAAATTTGTCTATATAGAGAGCTTCTTAGGTTCTTCTGTAACGGCTATGTATCAAGACCTAATAATGAAACAATGTAATTTAGAAAGAAAATTATTAATGCAAAAATTATCCGTAGCCACATACAATCTAAACGAATTCGCTTAATTAATGGGTGGTGTTGGACACTCTGCTATAAAAGCTGGTGAAATTGTATACTTGCTTAAATGTAAACCAACAAATGTTGATTTAGCAAGATCAGAAGCATGTTTTAATGAATTACCGGTAACACATAACAATATCACTAAATTCCTAAGCCCAAAAACTCATGTATTACAAAGATATGGCACAGAAGTTGATTGTAACCAATTATTGCCAGTAGCTTTCCAACTTGAATAAGAATGGTTTTCATTGTCACCTGAATACAGAGACATTAAGACACCACAAAATTTGAAACCAGAAACATCTTTTACATGGACACACAAAAGCCCTGAAAATCTAATGAACGCTGGAATATACTCCAGAGAAACAATAAACAAGTTTCAAAATCACATGCTTTTTCCTCAAGAAATAAATGCTGCACAAAACTTTATTGCAAGAGAATCACTTGGTCTAAACACAATGAATCAAGGATTAAAAATAAAAACCATCATAGACCATGAAGCTATAGGAAAAATAATAGAACAAAGACTTGAGAAAATTTGGGGAATATTCGTCTTTATTGGTAACCTTACGAGTGGTCTTTTCGGCATATCTTTTATTGGAAAGATCATAACTATAGCTCTAAACACCACTTTAAACATGACAATATTATACCAAACTTTTGGATGTAGTTTCAAGGTATTAGCTGGAGCATTTAACGGCATCACTCAATAAGTCATGCATAAAAGCCATAATAAATTATATAAAAATGTAAATAAACAATCTGAACTCTCACAGTCAAAAGAAGAACTAACTTTAAATACAATACATATACAATCACAAGAGCCTATACTGGAACAATGTACAGTCAAGCTGACTGAAACCGCATATCATAACATGTATCCCACATTAGATACACAAACTCCACACTATCAAGTGCCAAGGAGAACATTATAACACTATAATATTATAATACTGATAATATTAGCATCAAAATATTAAAAAACACATATACATATAAAAACACTACACCTCTGTAAATAAAAAAAAAACACCACACTTATAAATAAAATACACTAAATAAAAAAAGGAGTCTTATTTAACTATACAACAATTACATTATAAAATATACGTACTCAAAAGATATTATCGGTTCCTAAATAATATTTAAAGTAAAAATAAAAAAAAAAAATAAAAAAACATTAAAACAGGTGCACATCTCGACACGCGCCACAAATAAAAAAAACCAGTACAGTGGGGTCGGGGCATAGTGGGGACGGAGCATAGTTGGGTCAGGGCATAGTGGTGACGGGGATGTCACAGGTTTACAGGAATTTTTAAATCTGAAAGTGATAAAATCACTTTCGAAAAAACGCTTCGATGCAAATCGGTAGTTAGTATTTTCAAGCCAGTACAGTCCAAACCAAGCACAGTATAAACCAGCAAAGTTAGAAAGTTTCAAATGAAGGTTCTGTATTTACAAATGAGCATCAAAGCGTTTATTTGAAAGCGATTTTATTCAATTTTATCACTTTTATTTATAATAATTCTTGTAGACCTGTGACCCCTCTGTTTCCACATTGCTTTGATTACATTAAGCCAATACTCTACTGTACTAGTCCTCTCGGATAAAATCACTTTCAAATTAACGCTTTGATGCTCATTTGTAAATACAGAACCTTCATTTAAAACTTTCTAACTTTGCTGGTTTATACTGTGCTTGGTTTGAACTGTACTGGCTTGAAAATACTAACTACCGATTTGCATTGAAGCATTTTTTCGAAAGTGATTTTATCACTTTCAGATTTAAAAATTCCTGTAAACCTGTGACCTCCCCGTCACCACTATGCCCCGACCCAACTATGCTCCGTCCCCACTATGCCCCGACCTCACTGTACTGGTTTTTTTAATTACTAATTCAGTGACACAACATGACTACATTTTTTTAATTAGTTGGCTTATAATCCACTATTGTAAATTCTACACAAAGTAAAAAACATACAAATTCGCATAATTATCTGCACTAATAATTATTTTAATATAATAACGTTAGAAAGGTATCTAATAACCTTGCAATTATTTTTCACTAGGTATAATTATAATAGTAAATTTTAAGCTATGTGCAGCAGTATACATTAAAATAAAATTTATATTTCAATAGATTTAAACCAACTAGGTGTTAGTAATATTGAGTCAATCAAGCAACGAACAACATGGAATTTGTAACAAACTTCTTCTATTGTATATTATTTTTTATAATAACAAGATTTATAGTGATATTCATATACCAAGAAATTATTGCGCCGATCTTGCATTTAAATATTGATTTTACGAAAACAGGGCAATGGGCAGGTAATGTCATATTTTAAAAGTACTTAATTATAATAAATAATTAAATAAGTAATTTACATTCTTATATCCGTCGGTTGCCTTGGTAGCACTTCGTTTTGAATTAAAAATAGGAATAGAGTTTTTTTCATAAGTTGGTGCCATTTTTGTTATTATATTATATTTAATACTGGACAGGTTTCATACTATTTTAATGTGTGCTAAATTAAAAAATATGTTTTACATATTATTTAAATTGTCTACATTAGTATTTTAGTCTTCATTTAACTTTTTCCATTTGGAGAGAATATCATGCTTCATGAAGTTTAATCAAACTATAGATAATTAAGTCAGCCAAATAGAACTAAGTTAGTTGGTATTTAGTATATTAAAGTATAAACATTAAAAAGTTAGCGCAGTGAAATCAAAATCAAGTAATATGCATTATTTGTTATAGTTATAACGGGCTCTACCGATGGAATTGGAAAACAATACGCAGAACAGGTATGCGAACAGCTAAATTTGTTAAAAATAAATTATAATAATAATTTACTATTTTGAAAGCAACTCATTAGATACACGTATTGACATTTTTTTAGTATTTAAAGAAACAAATATTAAATAAATATAAAATAATTTAAAATATTTTCACTCATAATTTGTAGTTGGCCAGTAAGGGTATGGATGTCGTACTTATCAGCAGAACTAGGTCCAAATTAGAGAGCACGGCCAGTGATATAAGTAAGTATAGTTACAACCAAGACGGATGGGAATATTTAATTAAATGTATAGTATTAAGACAACATAACACAAATGTGTCAAAATACCTTGTACAAGCTTGATAACATGTCTAAGTTGTAGTTTGTATTATTTGGCTGTTTATTAAGTTATAATTATTTACTATTGTCAAAAGCAAGATTATTTATTGAACCACTTATAGAGATTCAATAGTCCATTATGACAATCAAGAACTATTTATAATTTATAGTTCTACGGTACACGATTTAATGTGATCTAGTTAATTTTGTGTGACAAGAGGATGTCTATAAAATTGAAAGGTAAATTTCATAGGGTAGTCCATAAATGTTATCTTGATCGGAATGTTGGGCAGTAGACAAGAAAACTGAACAGAGAATGAGTACAGTGGAGATGAGAATGATAAGATGGATGATTGGAGTGACTAGGAAGGATAGAATTAGAAATGAATACATAAGAGGGAGTCTAAGAGTTGCACAAATGAGGTGGGTAAAATGAGAGAGAATAGATTGAGATGGTTGGTTATGTTATGAGAAGAGATGTGGCAGAGGCAGCGAAAGGTGTTATGTAGATGAAAATGTAGAGGGAAAAAAAGAAAGACCGAAGAAAAGATGGATGGACGGAATTGAGTAATATTTGAATAGATGGAAGGTGTAAAACTAGGGTGGCCAACCAAATGTAGTTGAGATTGTAAGGCGAAGATTTAACTGCTCTATTTAATTTTATGATAGACAACCGAATTTATTTGTTTTTTCGCCGTTACTAATATTTGATTAATAAAATGCTTGAATTTCAGGAAATAAGTACAGTGTGAACACAAAAATCATCGAAGCCGATTTCATAGACAATAATTCTGACTTATATGATCGTATTGAAAAAGAACTACGCGACTTGGATGTTGGCGCATTGGTTAATTACGTTGGAATGATGAATGAATTTCCCATTTTTTTTTTAGAAATTGACAAAAAAAAATCCATTGTACGACAATATCATAAAATGCAATATCGTATCGGTGGTAAACACGTGTAGGACAGTCTTGCCTGGCATGGTCAAGCGCCGTCGGGGTGTCATCATAAACGTGTCATCAGCATCATCAGTTATATCGTCTCCGTTACACACGGTTCACGGAGCTTCTAAAGTAAGACTAAATTACTTATTAAAATATTTCTAGGCAATATAAACAATAACCCGTACTTGAAATGTTATTTTTTAAATTAAATTTATATGTTTACACCAAAGGCATTCGCTTATAAGTCCAGCGAGGACTTGGCTTCGGAGTACAACAAAGATAGTATAACTGTCCAGTGTGTTACACCATGTTTCGTTAAAACCAAATTCGTCAAATTCATGAAAATTCTTTTCTTGGTTACTAATCCTGAAACTTATGTCAATTATGCGCTACAGACTACTGGAATTAAATGTATCACTACAGGATATCCTCCACACTGGTTTTTGGTACGTATAATATTAATAATAATGTAATAAATAAAAACAATAAGTTATGTAGCTCGAATATTCAAACATTTCTTTGGCCAGATCATGATGTGTAGTTAAAATCTAAATATAACTACAAATAAAATAATGGAAATATGAAACAATATTTTTTTGAAAAAAAGAAACACAGTTTCAATATGTATTATTAGTTGAAAAAGATGAAAAAAGTTATTGTTTTTATGCAAGTAGTTTTATTTGTGGTTAAAAAAAAAGATTTATTTTATTTTTTATAATTTTTAAATACGTATTATTCATTATTCATTGTTGTGTATTTAAATTCAAATTTTCTGATTGAACAATTTTTTGTTTTTCAACAATTTTAGTCTAATACTATGTGGGGTTAAAAATTATGTTGGGTAAGGTTAATTTATTTAGTTTTGGTGTAATATAAATGTAAAAGACAAATGGTGTTTGTAGCATATAAGAATACAGTTTGTTAGTTGTGACTATCCATAAGTTGTTTAATATTGTTACAACTTTGCAATGGTTTTTGGAAGGAGTTTTCATACAGAAGCAAATAACTAAACCTCCGAAAATAACAACGATGTTTTTCTTTTTTAACCTAAGGTATTTAATTGTTAATTTAATTTGAAAACTTTTAGATGTCGTGTTCAAGCTGATGTGGTGAAAATTATAAATATTTTAAATTCGTTATAAATTAAGCGTTTTCTAACCAAATATATAATTTATATGATATGTTAAAAAATTCATTTGTTTATTTATTTAATGGTACACGATGGGCAAAGTCTCAAAACGCAATTGATGGTTAATTTAGAAAATTAGAAGTCGATTAAATACATTTACTGACAGTTATATCATCATAAAAATGCATGATGTTTTACAATAACTTTGTAATAACGTTTCATACTTGAATGAATAATTTCTGATCAAAAAATGTTTTTTAAATTATTTTTACTAACATTTTTGTCTCATACAATGTGGTTTATATTATCTAAGCTGGTAAAAAAATGCTGTGCTGGGTTAATTTATTTAGTTGGGCCATAGTTTAAATTTGAGAAACAATGTTACTTCTTTGTATCATAAAAAATGTTATAATTAACATATGATATGAGAATTCTGTGAGAATGACATGTTTGTCAAATGAAATCTGTCGTCTCAACATTGGTCAGATCTTATCGTTTCAGTCCGTCGGACAAGTGTCCAAAACCAGAAAATCTTCGTTGAACGTATGCTGGGACACAAGCGTTTGTCGACGGGTGTTACGTTAAAATAGAAGAGAGAATGTGATCAATTATTGAATTAGGATTTTAAACCAGAATTATTTACATATTTGGTTAAGGTTGTTCGCGTAATTATGTTGATTTAGTTAACCGAGGTAATACTTATATCTAATAACACATATCGTTCCGTTCACGTAAAACACATGAAGTCCAAAAATGGGTGTTTTGAGAATGAGCTTTTTAAAATTGTACAAACTTTGAGATATAACATAACGGACTGAATTATAATTTAAAATCACTCTTTAAAACGATTTTTAACATAATTGGATTTGAGGGAGTATAGCACATGGTATACAATTGCATTGTACATTTTATTTCATAAATATTTCAAAAAACCCATACTTGGACTTGGTGTTTTGAGCTATTTGTCATTAGGCTTAGTTATTATTTTGGCTTACCAATTTGTTGGTGTATTCAATTCTTTCAAAATATATCTTCTATAAACTGTTTAAGCGTCTATACAGGGTGTTCAACAATGATTCGACAAATGAGATAACTTTGGTTCTAGTGAATATTTTTAAAGTTTTTTTTTTTTTAATTTATTTATATTCATTCGCGCTATAAGTACCATGTTTCTTGTTGCACTTACTTGTTTTAAGTTTATATAGATATGTTTTTTTTTAAAATATCCTATTTATTTAGAATAGGTTTTAAAAAAGAATTGGTGAAAAAATTTATATTTTTATTCTTACATTAAAAAGTTATACTCACTTAAAATTGATCAAAATTTGAAAATTTCTCTCCGCGTTTATTGTGTCGGCCATTTAAACATGTTATTAAATTACAATTATTCATTTTTATATTTTACCAATGTTTTTTTTAACTGATTACACATATACCTACAATCATGGTTATAGATAAACAGGTTATGTATTTTTTTGTCCTAAAACGACGGTGTAGTCATAATACTGCTGTTACGCATAGTTTCTTTATTATATTGGTTAAGAAAATACATAAACTTCCAGAATCGAACAGTTTCCAGATTTCGGAGGCTTTAACACTGAATACAAGCATACAGTATATATGGAAAAACGATGGCCCAGTTGGACGTATCATTCCAAAACATTTCTGAAAACTAGTATAATATAGGTATATAAGATACATGCACTTTCAGTGGCCTACTTTGAACAACACTTTGGAGGGTGTCTAATTTTTTTGTATTTTTGTAAACTCTTTTTCACTCTCAATCTAAGCCCCTGTTCTTCAATGCCGACCACTTAAAACTTACTTGTAAATATTTATAATATAATTTTTCATCAACCATCCGTCCGAAGATAAGGGGAATGAAGCTGGCAATTGAGAGACCACATAAGAAATATGAAAGTATGATATTTGTAAGATATAATCTAAAGATCGTCTCAACAAGTCATACAGAAATCAACGACCTAGAAATTCTCACAGTAGAAGTTACAAATGGTACGGTCACATCAATATATAAACCGCCTAATATCCCATTTAAACTTACAAAGCCAATCAATTTCTAAAATCAAAGAACAAAAATTGTAAATGGCGATTTCAACAGTCACAACAGCATCTGGGGCTACAATTAAATGAACGTAGACGGGGAAAAAGTAAAGAAATGGGCAGAGGAAAACGATCGAACTTTAGTACACGATACAAAGCTCCCATCGTCGTTCAACAGCGGTAGATGGATAAGATGGTATAACCCGGACATAATTATTGCGAGTAGCAATATCAAACAACGATGCAAAAAGAAAGTCGTAACACCAATACCAAATTTCCAGCACAGACCAATAACATGTCAAATAAATGCTATTATACACCCAGAAAACGTACCGATAATAAGACGCTATAATTTCAAAAAAGTCGACTGGGAAAGTTTTAAGACACAGCTGGATACTGAAATCAACAAAATCATCCCAACGCCTGAAAATTACGGCCAATTCACAAACCTAGTAAAACTATTCCAAAACAAAATATGTATAAGGTAATACGTTTTTCAAGAATAAGTATTTGATATCAAGAAACTTATTCATAAGTCGCATACACTAGTATTTGTGTAAGAATAATAGTTCTATTAATAAATTTTATACGGTTAAATAGAATTTATATTATGTCCATAAATTATTATTTTTGTTAAATTTAATCTAGTTCTATAAAGATTATATACTCATAACATTTTTGAAAAAATTAGGTCATCTTTATGAAAGTATCAAATGTATACATTTGTGTATGAATAATCAATATGTACTAATATATGGTTTAAAATAATGACTCTATTCCAAGAATAGACGAAGTTGAAGATGGATTTTGAAAGCCATTTATCTTTATTCTTAAATATTTTCAAGGGAATTGATGAAATCACAGTAGCAATAATGACAACAAGTGTAATATGAATTTTATAGGACGCTACACTTTGTTAGAGAATATGTTATATGCATATTGTATATTATGCAGTAATGCAAAATAAAGCATGATGGATTTTTGATAGTGTAATAATTGTAATATTGTGCTCTTTAATAATTTCTAAACAACAAAGTTAATTTTTTTACTATTTAACTTTGATTGTTGTCTGTTATCATGTGGTGTAAATAAAAAACACGGAGTGTAGGGTTAACTTAATTATTTGGGTTGTAAAAATTTAGTCATAAACATTTATATATCGTACTTCAGTTATAACAAACCTATAATTTCTATGGTAGTACGAGATTTTAAAAAATAATTATATACATATGAAAAAAATATTTTTAAAACAATACCGCATTTTATAAAAATTAATTATTTCACCAACGTTCCCGTGACCCATGCAGATTTTTTTGTAGAAGTATAGCATAATATATTTTTTAATATTCTGCAGAATAAATTATTGCTTTTATCATCATTTTCTAGGGAATAAAAAAATAATTGTTCTCGGGTCAATTTTAAGAATTGAAAAAGCGTTAAATTGGTGTTTTATTTTGCCCGATTTCAAGTGCATAGTTGTGACTATTTTTTAATTTTAACTTGCTAATATTTTTATGATATATAGAGGGACCAAACGAGTAAATCGGTTAAGGAATTTTTCATTTTTAAATAATACCTTTTCAGATTGGCCTCGAAGTTAAATATATACTGAAGAATTAACTTTAAAATAAAAGACAAATGTATAGTTTTACATTTTCTATTATATATTTTTCAAATGAACTTTCAGTTGGTTTATGAAGATCTTACTGGATGTAAACTTAACCAAAATTAGCGTAAAATGTAAATAATATTAAATCTTTCTAAATTCTAAGCCGTCTTAGACCCGGCCGGTGGAAATAACGAACGTTAGACCTAAAAGAAATGAGACACCCTGAATTTGTTTTCACGTTTTAATAAATGAGTAATCATAAAAAAAAAAACATTTTCAACTTCATTCCTTTATTCGTATTCCTATTCATGCTGTGTACTGACATTTTGTATTGTCCATAGAAAGGTATAATATTTAC